TGGCACGATGCCCAGCACCGGCACATGAGCTCGTACACGTGGACGCTGTCAAGGGCTCCACCTCCAGGCCCCTCTTGAAGCTGGGGCCCGTGGCCCGGAAGATGGTCTTCATGTCCATGAGCTTGTTGTCGAAGCCATGCTCCCCATTGTTGAACTGCACGTTCACTCTCTGCGGGGAGGGGGGTCCCGAGTCCTGGCTGTCCCTCCCAGCCCGCCCCGCCCTCTCTGCCAGCACCCCCTGCAGTGCACGCCTCAGCAGAGGACCCCTGGAGGGGGTCAAAGGGAGGCAGGAAGGGTTCCGAGCCTCCGTTCCTCTGAATTCTCAGCCCCCGAAGGTCAGTGGCCCAAAGAGGGAGCCTCGGTAAAGACCCGGTGACACGAATGGAGACCCCAAGTAAACAGGGTGGAGCTTCAGCCCAGGGGTGCGCACCGGGCCCCTTCCTGCTGCTGGCTGCGCAGCGCGGCTGTTCGTCCCTTCCCTGCTCTGTCTCGCTTCCTACTCAGCCCCCCTGGGCTCTCTGTTCTCACTGTTAGCTCACCTTCCCACGCTTTCCCTTTTACACACACACATACACACGTGTGCACATCCACACACAGATACAGGCACGCATGCACACATATGCACACACATACTGGTACACAGTGCATGTCCACACGCACACCCACGCCTATTGCAGATTGTGGGGGTGTCCCTTTGGTGGCTGACACTCCTCACATTGGGGTCTGGCTAGAAACAGGGGGTGTGCTTTTTACAGAAATGAAGAGACCCTGCAGCTCCAGGAAGCGCCTGCACCGGCAGCAGCCCCGGGTAGTGCCCGGCACCGGCAGGAACTCACCCCGTGGATGACGTAGCCAAGGTCGCTGTACATGAGCAGGGGGGTGACCCTGGGGTGATTGGCATAGTGGAAGGACTTGGGGAAGTTCTCCTTCTTGTAGACGTGGAGCCGGGGGTGGGCATCCTTGAGGACCTCGTACACCTTCTCCAGCATCCCTTCCTTGGGGAGCAGCATGCCGTTGGGTCCGTAGTCTAGGAGCTCGAACTCGATGTCCTTGAAGGAGAAGTTGGAGACCTTGTGGAGCTCCACGAGGTCGCTGGCGTTCTTGTTGACCGTGCTCATGCCGTGGTCGGACGTGATGATCAGGTTGAGGCTGCTCTCCAGGCCACTGAGCCTGATGCGGTCCCGGAGGTAGCCCACCGTCCTGTCCACCTGCATCACCATCTCCTTCCTCTCCTGGGACTCCGGGCCGTACCTGTGGCCCGTGGAGTCTGGCTCCCCAAAGTAGAGCGTGACGAGGTCCAGGCCCTCCTGCGTGAACCACTCCATCACCGTGTCAATGTTGGCCCTCCACTCCGCCTCATCCTTGTAGTTGTGCAGGAAGCCTTCCTTCCGGCTCAGCGTCACGGCCTCGCCTTGGTAGGTGACATTCCCGCCGGGGTAGAAGAATGAGCCGGTCTTTAGGCCCTGCCGGGGAGGGCGGCGTCAGCGCCTCGGGCCGCCTCCTGCCTGCGCCCTGACCCATCTGCCCCCTGCCTGCCCTCCGCCTGCCTCCTCACCCAGCCCTGCTCCAGCTAGGACCACAGGCCTTTGTATTTTCTGAAAGGCCCTTCCTAGCTCTTATCTTCTGTTATTGGGCTGATACTGATTTTATAGAGGAGCGAGCAGGTGCCCAGTGGACTCAGCACTAATGAGATAGTGGATATAAAAGTATCCCCAGATATGCTGTGTCCTCATCGTCACTGTGGCCTTAGGTATCTGCCCTGAGGCTGAGCTGCCCGTGAGCCCTCCCCTTCTGGCCTGCAGCCCGGCTTCTCCCTGCCGTGTCCTTGTCCAGCTGTGTGTCCATCAGTCCCCCCGCCCACACCCCGTGGCCTGCCCTTTCAGCCTTCAGCCTGGCCATCCGTCTGTCTTTCCATAAATCCAGTGCTGTTTTAGTTACAGATCCATCTGTCCACACATGCCCCGTCTGCCTGTCCGGTCCCTAAGGCCATTCTTCCTTGAGATGCCAAGTTCTCGGCTACGGCTTCTGCCAGTGAGCCTGGTGTCTGGTAGCTCCTTCTGGAGCGAGGGGACTCAACCTGAGTGGATGCCCTGCCTATGAGGCGGGTGTAGCTTTCAAAGCTCAATCCGGGCTCCCCTTGAAAATCTCTGAGTTTGTTGCCAGGAAGCCCCAGAGCACTGCAAGACGCTGGGGTCTCGGGCTTGTCATGTGGATGACCCACCTCTTACCCTGCCCTCCACCCTTTGGAATTTAGCTGCCGCGCCCTGAGAGGCACACGGGAGGGGGCGGGGTGAAGCCACTTCATCGTTCCCTGCCTTCCTGAGGAGTTAGGTCAACTTCCCTGTGGCCCCCTTTCCCACCAGTGTGGGGCGGCCCAGTTTTCCCTCGGGCTGGGAGTATGGAGCAACCCCTTGGTCTCAGGGCTCCAGGGAGGACTGGCAGGCTCTGGGTTTTCCTGGGCAACTGGCTCCCACCTTCCGAGGGACCCCACTCATACCACCCCCACCCCCGTGTCGGGAGCGGGGACTCCCAGGGCGGGGACTGGGCCTGCGTGGATCTCGGCCTCGTTGTCCGGGCCCCCCGCCCGCCTCCCCCGACGGCCCGAGCGGGTGTGGGCAAGGCGTTACCTGCCTCTGGGCCGTGACCCAGATGGGTACACTGCCATTGTCCCACCACCCCTGGACGCCCAGCGTGGTGTGGTAGGGCAGCTTCAGCTTGCTGCTCGTGTTGTAGAACATGTTGTGCACCACCCCGTGGTTCTCGACGTACTTGCCTGTGGGGCGGAAGAGCAGAGGGGCGGTGGGAGGGCAGGAAACAGCCAGGGTGGCAGGAGGCCCACGCGGCCTGGGGAGCCTGGGCTGGGCTCCGACACAGCCGCGTTCTCTGACCCAGAGATTCTGCTTCCACTCTGAGCAGCTTATCTCGCAGCTAAACGCGCACAAATGTGCAAGTACACATGTGCCAGGATATCGTTTGCAGCCTCGATGGTTTCAGCAAAACGTTGGGAGCAACCTGGCTGGCTGTCAGGAGGGAACTAATTGAATGAGTTAGGGTCTGGCCGTGAAGTAGGGTCCCAGGCAGGAAGATAAATGAACAAAGAGGAGCTCTGTGAGGCATCTTATACTATTCTCTTTTTTTTTTTCCGCATGGAAATGCCCTCACATGAGTTCAGAAGGCACAAAAGCAGGGGGTGAGGAGTGGTCTGCCCCCTCCTCCACATCCCCATCGGGTCATATTCTGTAAGGAGGGGACGTGCAGAAGGGAGGACCAGGTGCTCCGTCTGTGTGTGGAAGGGGCCGTGGTCACAGAAATGCTGGTGTGAGGATGAGCCATCTGTACCGAATAGCGTACCCCAAAGTCGTGTCCACCCAGAGCCTCAGAATGTGATCTTGTTTGGAGATAAGATGTAACGAGCTCGGTTAAGATGGGGCTTTCTGGATCGGGGTAGGCCTTAAACACAAGGACAGGTATCTTTACAAGAAGAGGAGGGATATACACGGGGAAGACGGCCGTGTGACGAGGGTCAGGGATTGGAGAGCTGCAGCCACCAGCCAAGGAATGCCTGGGCCACCGACAGCTGGAGAGGCCGGAAGGATCCTCCCTTTCAGCTTCCGGAGGGAGGTTGGCCCTGTGACACCTGGATTTTAGGTTTCCAGCATAAACAGAGTGATAATGGGTTGGGGAGTGGTTGGGGAGTGAGCAGTGGGAAGAGCAGGAGCCTCAGGCTCATCTCTCCTGTCTTTCTGAATCCTAGTCACACTCACCTCCTCCAGAAGCCCTCCTGGGTTGCCACCCTGGTTGTAGTCACCATTTAAACTGAGACACCAGGTGTTTTTATCTACCTTCTATTAGCTGCCACCAACAGTGATGGTTGCTGATGACCCCCCTTGGCTGAGCGGTGTCTGCCCAGTGAGAGTGTCCCCTCCTTGGTCTCACCTTTGTCCCTGCACCACACACCATAGGACAGGCCCTGTGCATAAGCTGGGGCTCCCTCTGTTGGTTCCCTGGTTTCTCAGCACCCCCACCCCCAGGCCCCACTGAGGCCGACACTCACCAGTGACCAGGGTGAAGTGGCAGGGGCTGGTCAAGGTGATGAAGGCCGGGGTCATGTAGCGAGCCTTCACCCCTTCGAGCGCCATGGCATCCAGGTTGGGGGTGTCCACGTCCTGGTCGTAGTTCCAGCGGAAACCATCGAAGGACACCAGGAGCAGCTTGTTCCGGGAGCTCAGCTGGCGGACGGGCGCCGCCACTGCTGGAGCCAGGAGGGCGGCCAGAGCCATGGCGAGGAGGACAGCCGGGCGTCTCATGATGGATGGGTTCTCCAGAGACACGAGTTCCAGGCAGATTCCTGCCGAGGAGCAGAGCAAAGTCCTAGGGTCACCAGGCAGGTCGTATCCTCCGCGTCTGTGAACCAAGACTGTGCACGCACCTGCGCTTCAGAGGGACTCCCGCCTCTGGGTCCGTGCCACCCCAAGCCTGGCCCTCAAGGCACCTGCTTTTATTGCCAGCGGAGCCCTCTGGGCTCCATTCCCCGCCCTCTGCGTGCACAAGTATCTTTATAGGGAGGACGGGGACCAGGAGAGCAGGACAGACGCCTCCATCAGGAAAGCCTGTGTCCCCACCCCAGCTCTCGTAGCAACTCTCAGTCCCTGTGCCCTGTTCACTCTGCCCCCAGAGCACCCTGATGGGGGCCTCTCCTCCCGGCCATAATTTGGGGAGGTCTTTGGTGTATGTGGGCCAGGACTGGGGGGTGGGCTGCTCAGGGTCCAGGGTCCATGATGCTGGCCTTGCCCATGGGGAGCCCCAAACTTGGGGCATGCCTTTTCCCCTCCCTGCCTGTGTAGAAGGGATCCTGGGATGGGGTGGGCAGAACTCCAACCTCATGGCCAGATTAGCCCTTACTAGGCCCCCTCCTCAAGCCCCAGGGAGCCTCAGAGGGATGCACAGGTGTGGGCGACCTCACTGTTGGATTTTGTCAACAAAGTGCTCAGAATGGGGACCTCCCTTCTTACCTTCTGCTCATGAGGAGAGCGGGGTGCGGGAGAGGGATCCTGAGTCAGTGTGCAGTGTTCTGCCTCACTCACTCACTTGCCCTCTGTGTCTCTGTCTCTGTGCCCCCCACCCCCCACCTATGAAGCACGTTGTGGCGGCCAGGCACCGTTCCGAGTTCTGGAGACGCAGCAGTGGACAAGGCAGACGGTGTTCCTGGCTTCCGTTATTATGGCTGGGGACACACAACATAAAATAAATAAGCAAGTAAAACAGCAAAATAGAGTCAGCAGAAGGAAATTAAGCAGGGAGATGAGACACAGCATCTGTCTGGCGGGGGGTGGCGGCGCTGGGCCAGGGCCCGGTGCGAGGATGACTGACGGAGTAATTCTGGGGTCACCAGCCAGGGGGGTGGGTCAGGGGCAGACAGGAGGCCAGCAGGGCCAAGTCCTGGGGTCTGGGGTTGTGCTGCGGAATCTGGCATTCTTTTGCAGCGCAAGAGGAAGTCCTGGGATGGATTTACGCAAGGGAGGGACATAAACTGATCTAACATTACGAACACATGCACGCACACACACGCCTCTCCATTTGCAGGACGAGTGGCCCTGAGGAAGGAAGGGAGGTTGTGTGTTCCGCAGAGAGGGGACTGTTGGTGTCTGAATCAGGGTGGTGGCTGATGGAGTGACAGGTGCGGAGGGAGTTTGGAGGTTTGTTGGAGGGATTTGCTTCCAGATCGCATGTTGGAGAGAGAGAAAGGGGGTAGCCATGGGAGATGCTTTGGGTTCCCGCCCGGACGGCTGGGTGCAGTGCCTTGTGTATATCCCACTGGGCGGTCAGAGGTCAGAGGGCAGGTCGAGGGCAGAGCGTTCTATTTTGGACACCATTCATTGGAGGTGCCCGTGAGAAATCTGAGGGCAGGTGTCAAACGGTGGGAATGTCCCGCTTAAATCTTCTTCAGCTGTAGACCTGCTGAAGGAGGTTCTGCCCAGGACTTGTGCTTGGCTGGCGGGAGGAACTCATCGCCCCCAGCGTCACAGAGGCCATCAGCAGCCTCCTCTGGGGTGAGGCAGTGTTTCTGGGACCCGGGATGCCAGGGTGCAGATTCTCGGGCCTTCCCTCAGTCCGTGGAGCCACACTGGGTCGGGCGGCAGCAGGGGTCCACGCATAGCCCCGCCCCTCGTGAGTCTCAGGACACTGCAGTCTGAGAGCAGAGACGGTCCCCGCGTGGACTTCTACAAGCAGGGCGCGTGGGGGCTGTGGTGTGCCAGCCGAGAACCAGAGGAGCTCCAGCTGGTGGACCAGCCGGTGTGGGCAGCCATCAAACGTGGAGCATGCCCGGGGGAAGTGAGGTGCCTTAGCGGAGAGCAGCGGGGACCACAGTCACATGGTGCTGGGGTGCACCCGAAGGCGCTTCTGAGGACCCGACATCACACCAGACCTACAGGACGGGTTTGGCTGGGAGAAGCCTGGGCAGGAGAGCCTTCCAGGTAGGGACAGCCAGTGAGGGTGACGAGGTGGAGGAGGGGGGAGCTCAGGCTTGAGGCTGGGAGGCGGGCCTGGCAGAGTCTGGGTTTTATGCTAGCTGCCTTCTGATATCTGTTCTAGCACCTTCTAATATCTATTCTTCCATTCTTCCACAATAAGATGGCCTCCAAGAACAAAGACTACATTTCCCAGCATTCCTTGCAGCATGGTGTGGCCATGTGACCATGTCCTGGCCAATGAGCTGAAAGAAAAATGTCATGTGACACCCCAGTCTCCTCCCAGCGCTAGCTTTGCCCCTCTTCGGCTTCTTCCTCCCTCTGATGCCTCAAGCTCAGAGGCTGCCTGGGGCCCTGGTGATGTGGGCCTCCCCGGGGAAGGGTCCACAGAAGGAGCCTGGTCCCCCCGGCTGTCTTGGGCAGCCAGTCTTGAATGGCTCAGCCTCGCAGGGAGAGTTGCACACTCTGTCTCACTCCCACTTTTGCTACTGGGTTTTCTGTCACACTCAGCAGGACCTAATCCGAGGCGATAATTGGATGATGGCTCTGGGAGGCACTGCTGGGTTTAAGCAGGGGGGTGACATGGCATGCTGGCTGCTGCGTGTGGTCGGGAGGTGAGTGAGGGGCTGACGCAGAGGTCCAGGGCCGAGGCCAGGGCCAGGCGCGGCGGGGCACAGACCTGGGGTGCGCTGGTGTGGGTGGGTGTGGGGTGCAGGTGAGGGAGGGGTCGCTGTCCTGTTCTCACTCTGCACTTCCTCCTGCTGGTCCCCATCAGAGATGCGGCGGCTCCCTGTCCTGCTCACCCTCACCTGCCTGCCTGGTCTGGCCTGGAGGTGGCTCAGAAGGCCCGCTTCCCACTCTCAGGGACATCTGAGCCAGGCTTGGGGTAGCCCGCCTCCCGTTTCTTGGCTCCATACCTCGCTCACATTTTGTCACAGGGAGCTCACCCTCTGCTGATTTCCTTTTTATTCCCTGGTCTCCTGGAGTCCGTCAACAGAAAGAGTATGCAGCTGACCACAGGTAGCAGCAACAGGGCGTCTCCACAGACCGAGCGCTGGACTTCATCTGTGATCTCATTCAAGCTACGAGGCAGGAGTTGGTAACGGCCTCACTTCGCAGGTGAGGAAACTAAGCAGAGAGGTTAAAGGTCCCTCGGCAAGAGGCATTGCTGAGTCCTGAACGCGGCGCGCTGGCTCCAGACCCCCCGCTTGGAAGCGGTTTTGGATGCCACTGGTCTACCAGCCATTTAGGCTCTTCCTTGGGGATGCTGATTTTCTCTTTAAAAAGTAGTGCTGCTGTGACTGCCTTGGTATCGCTGACTTTTCTCTTTTCTTTCCCATTCATATTATTTCCTTGGGAGTAAAATCCCTAGAGAGGAGTTATTGGACGAAAGATTAAAGGTTGCTTGATTCTTACAACCAGATTGCTGTCAGGAATGCGTGGAGTGGTTAGTTGCTGGTACCCCCTCTGCCTCACTAGCTTCATTGGGTTTACTTTTTTTATTTCCTTTGGGTGACTTAGTAGATGTGTAATGTCTTAATGTAGTAACCCAGAGAGGCTGGGAGAGTTAAAAATAAAATTTATTAAATTTTTTTCCCTTTGGGGAGGGAGGTAAGTAGGTTTATTTATTTAGTTACTTTTTTTTTTTTAGGGGAGGTACAGGGGATTGAACCCAGGACCTTGTGCACGCTAAGCACGCGCTCTACCACTGAGCTATGCCCTCCCCCACGTCACGATTTCTTATCTCTAGTTCCCCATGTGCAGATGCTGCATCATCTCTGACCATTGATCCAGTGGTCAAAGTGATCATCGAATCTGAGGGCTTTATCAGTTCTTTATGTAATTTGCAGTGTATATTTTCAGAAATACATACTTCTGAAATATACTTTTCATAGACTTTCATCATTTATGTTTGTCACTTGTAACTTTCCCCCACCTTCCATCACTTATATTTTTTTCATAGACTTCCATCTATTCATGTTTGTCACTCGTAACTTCCCCCACCTTTTTGCGTGCCGGCCGTCCTCCAGGCAGACAGCAAGCTGGAAGCTCCCTGCAGGCAGGGCCAGCCATTGGTGCGTTCTTACGTCCCTAGAGCTTGGCACAACGCCTGCCCAGGTTAGAAGGCCCCTCAGCTGGGATTATACAATGTTTTCCTCTTCATTACCGGGGTTATGGGTCCTTGAGAGGAAAGGCACAGAGGTCACGCGAAGCGTATGTACTGTCTACGTGACTGGCTGGTGACCCCAGCCAGTACATGACTCAACCGTGCGGGTGTTGACCTTGACCACCTGGCCAGCAGGGTGTCTGCTGTTTTCTCCACCACGAAGTTACTCTTTCCTGCCCTCCTGTTTCATCCTCTGCTCTCTGGAAGGAAAGTCCCTAAGTGCCACCCACACTTAAGGAGCGAGGAGTCAGCTTCACCTCCCTGGGAGGGTCTCCGTACGTTTGTTTATTCTTCCTCATTCTTAATTTATGCAGCCATTCACACCAGTGTGAACTCATGATATTCAGTTTATGCTTTGGGTTATAATCCACTACTACTTTATTTTTTTTGCTCGAATTGCTCCAGCGCTGGGCACTGGGAGCCCTTTCACTGGGCTCTTGTGCCCCTCGGACACAGTTGCCATTTGGGCGCAGGGCACTCCAGGCTCAGCTTGTGCATTGGTCCTAGAATCAGGTGTTTCTCAAGGAGCCCTGGTTCCTGTTATTGGAGGATGATATTAGAGGCCAAGATCTGGGGACTGCGTGTGTGCCTTGCTCCTGCGGTGTTGCTACGTGTTTTTAAAGTTGTCATCCCAGCCACTCGGAAGCCCAGGGCTCCCCTGCTGAGTCAGGTGCACATGCAGCTTAGGGAGACAGGGCCGGCTTGCTCCTCGGTGCAGCGTTTACTGGCAAACCAGGATCCGCAGTGGAGAGGGGTCCTGACGGGCCACTCCTTGAGGAAACACAGGGGAGCACATGACAGTTTATTTGCTGCTTTTCTTGCTTAGGGGGTCCTTGTCGCCATGCAGGACCTGGCCCAGAGGCCTCCTTGGCCCGGGAACCGGGTGGATC